TATTCCATATCTTGTTTACCCATTCATCTGTCGATGGATACTTGTATTGCTTTCATTTTTTTGGCTATTGTGAATAATGCTGTTATGAACACGGTATACAAATACTTCTTTGAGTGTGCAGGTTAAAGTGTCCTAGGTCAGTTGAGTGAAATCTTGAGATGCTTACAGGAGAGATGAACTTGAACTTATAGGATTATTTTTATTGTTGGTAACTGTGCTGTGTGAGGGGCTGATTAGTGGAGTTCTGACTAAAGTTATGGTTTTGGGTAGCAAATAAAGATATTGACCCTAGATAGCTAACTCTCCCACCTTCAACAAAAATTTTTTTACTTCAAGTTTAGGAGGAACCAGTACAGTTTCATAGACCTCAGCAGGGGGTGTTCATGTACCTTCTTCCCTCTATGTTGCCATTGATGGGGTTCAGGGCAGGCCACCCCAAAATATGCCACTTCGGCATATTGATTATTTTGAATTAAAGTTACTTGAGAAATAGCAGGTGCAAGAAGAACACTGACCTGCCTTTGTTCTCCTGAAAGCAGGAAATAAATCTCTCCTCTGTATACCAGGTAGATAGAAGACATCCTTATCACCAGAGATAGGGAATTTAAGGCCAAGAAAGCTGTGTAAACAAACTTTGTTACTTCTTCATTAATCTGCTACCCCCAGATTTGTCAAATCTTCACAAATAATTGTTTCTTTCGTCTGAAAAGTATAAAAGCTGCCTGCTTTGGTCATTCTTAGGGCCTCAAATGTATAGGGTTCCCCTGCATACGAAGTTAAATTTGGTTTTTCTCTTGTTGATCTGTCTTATGTCAATTTAATTATTTAGACCAGCCATAAAAAAATCTAGAAGATAGAGGAGAATTTTTCCTCCCCAACACCCTTAATGTAATTTAGCTCCAACCAGCTCTGTGTTTCTTGGTAACTTATTTAACCTTTCTGAATTTCAATTTGGTTATCTGTTAATTGGACCAGTAATACCTACTTCAATTGCATTGTTGAGGATTCAGTGAAAATAATGTACTTTAAATGCTTTACATCTAGCATCTAGCAGGCACCTCATAAATTCTACCTCCCTTGCCACTTATGACCATTGTGTTTCTCCCCTTGAAAAGAAGTGAATGTAGTTTGGTGGGGGATGATTTCTGTAGTTAAGTTTCTCTTCTTAAGGTATCAGGTAGAGAAGAGGAAGAAGGTTTGCCATATTTTGTGAGCTTCTGGCACAGTTATTAACTTATAGTTGTTAGCAGGAAGATGTGATGCATTCCTCTCTATGTTATATCTGTTTAGCATTGGTATTTTGGGGCCGTTCACTCCGAGGGCTGTGGAGGATGGGGGCCAATGAGAACTGTCTATTAAGGCCTGGAAGATCTCATACACCGAGCTTGTCCTCATCCAGAAGGGTGTGCTCTGCAATAAACTGTGTCATTCTGTTTTGTGGGGATGAGCAGCCATAGCTCACCTAAGAGGCAAAACTGTTTACATAGTATTGAGTCTCTATAACATGGGCCCTTCTTTGGAAATCTCTTCTACTAAGAGTCAAGTCTTTGGTGAGGAAGAGTTTTTGTTAGCCTCTTCTCCCCTACTTCCTTTTTAAAACTATTGCTTAAATATTAGAAACAATAAATCAAAGGGTTAAATTAAAAAGAAAAAAAGGTACTTCCTGACCCTCTTATCTTTACAATGACTACATGTATTATACTTGATACCAAACTCTTATAGGCACATGACTAATTAACAATACTATGTTTATACAACCAACCCCTTATCTTTTATAGTTATCTTAACTCTTCCCTCTATGTACTACTACTTCTGTGACTGTCCTTGGAACAGTTTGGCTAGTCGTGTGCCCAGATGGCACCAAGTGGACAAGTGGATCAAGGGCAGTTTTCTAAAAATGTATATGCATGGAGGATGGGAACCAGGAGCCAGCCAACATGAGTTCTGTGTGTTGGCACTGAGATCCTGAGTACCAGTTCTCTACTGTCCTTGAACCTGCCCTGACACGAGGCTATTCTCTTTTTTGGCCTGCAATTAAATCCTGTGCATAGCTCTATACCATAATAGCTGTGAATAAGCCTAGCTATTAATTGTTTCTACTCATTTCTTTTGTTTCAGTTCAGATTTTGCATAATGAAAGGGGTACCTTGGCTCCCTCTAAAGTCCAGATCCAGTCACAATCCATGTTTGACACACAATTTTTAAGGCAGTAACCATGAGCAAGGACAATAGGAATAGTTGTAATTGACAGTTGTGTGCTGTTTTTTATTTGTTTTTTAAAGATACTAAAGAGGAACAAGAAACAGAGAAGGGGACAGAAGTGTATGAGAAGTGAGATAGAAAAGAGAGAGATGAGAGTAGATATAGAGGGCCTGCTGAGGTGGTTTTTGCTGAGAAAAGCTACTGGGAGTCTTTAGGTGTTGAACGTGATTAGTAGAAGGATAATGATGAGGTCTTAAACACCTGTACTCTAATAAGCTACTGAGGACCAAGAGAAAAGGAGGATCAAATACATGAAAATAACCTGGAATAGCCAGTAGATGGAGAAAGTTATAAACCAGAGTCTAGAAAAGTGTTGGTAACAGTAGAGGCAGCAAGTCTAAGCATCCATTTGTATATAAGATTCCCGCCCTTTAACTCCAAATGGCACCTTTATTTGTTTAATCTTATCTTAATGGAATGGTAGAGCATTAAACAGGAGACAAGGTTCTAGTCCCAGCTTAGTCACTAACTACTTGGGATATTTGGGGCATTCTCTTTTGGAGAGGAATTGTGGTCCCTGATGTCAGAGGCTTGTGGGAGCCAATTTTAAGTTTGCTTTGTTCATTTTAGCTGCCTGTTAAATTCCTTATAGAGAATGACTACTTCCAGGTGAGAAAACCCTGGCTTTTTTTCCCCGCCGCCCCGAGGGAAGGTTGTCTGACCTAAATTATCAGGAGCAGAACGAAGGTACCCCTTGGCACTGACTCTCCCTCTCAGTACTGTTTGGCTCTGCTGGTGTCTCTAGCAGTTGAGTCACAGGTCGCCTCTTGGCTTGTGCCAGAATCGCTCTCTTCTTCCCTTCATATTTATCACTTTATCATCCCTGACTCTGAATCCCAGAGATCAAGACTAACAGTAGTCCAGCAGAGGAGCAATAAATTATTGTTCCCACTTCTTTTTCTTCAGGTTTTGTGCCCCTTAATTACCACATAAGCACTGCTGAAGTTGCATCTTTGTGCTGTGTGTGCTAAGGACAAAAGACCTTGTTGACTGGATGTGTGCAGAAACTGCTTTGTCTCTCTCCAGCCATTATGTTTTGCAGTGCCATGTGTGCTACTCATCCTTTGCTCTTGTTGCCTGTGAATTTATAGAGCCTGATTGTCAGGTGATTTATCCATTAACAGGTTTTGTCTAAGCTCTGGGGTTCGGGAGTGGAATGGGCAGCCTTTAAATAAGTCAGCAAGGTGATCTTCATTAACAAGAGAGGTTTGGGCTGGGTTAGTCATTTTTATATGGATTTTAGCTAGTTCTCTTCACTTTCTAAGCTCCTGATGGGAGCTAAGCAGGTTACGTGATCCAGAATGGGCTCTCATGGAGTTTTTTTTTCTTTGGTCCAGTCCAACAGATCACTTTTTAACAGACAACATCAAAAGGACCAACTGCCTTTCTATTACGAAACCTCAGAGAACTTGAGTTGGGGTAGGGGTGAAGAGTTCATAAATGAGGATGCCTACCTCCTTCATCCCTAGCAAGGCTTTTTTGCTATTTGAGGGGGAAGATTCAGGCTTTAGAGACAATGTAGACAGGCTCTTGTACATTTCCTTGCCTGCTGCTGCTTTTCTGTACCTGTGCCTTTAGAGGATTGAGAGTGAGGGGTGTTGTGTGGCAGGCAGCAAGTGTTCGGAGAGTATTACTCCTACTCGTTATTCCCTGCTGTTTCAAATCAAAGCCCACGTCTCTAAGGGTAGTAAACTTCACACGAAGCTCAGACAGCTTGGGAGAATGGACATCTTTGCTGGCAAAGAAGCAGATATGCTCTTAGAAAAGGAGAGGTCACGCCATTTTTTGTATCTGTGGAAGTGAGGATAGTTGAGGGGGAGAAGACAGAAAGACCACCGATTGCTTGCAGCTGCTGACCTCCTTCTTTATAGTTTCCCATCAAGTAGGAGAGCTAGGTACAAGGGTACTAGTCGTGATGGACACGGAAGTAGGATTCATTTTATAGTTCTAGGTGAAAGTACAAGGCAACTGATAACTTCTTTTATGTTTACTATTTATTTGCAAAATGTCTTTAAAGCTGCACTGCTAACCTAGGGACTTGGCAGTCAGTCTCTACTGAGATTGTTTGGATTTTACCAGTCTCTACCCTCATTAAGGGTTGCCAGGTAGAAAAAGGACCTTTTCAGTAAATGTTGTTACAATTGAGAGAGGACAGAGCAAGCTGTACTTTTGTTTGAATAGTTAGAAAAATTAAGGGCTTTTTTTCTCTTCATCATCTCTCTTCCCATCTAGAGCCGAAGCCTAGCTGTAGGTTCTACAATATAGTTGGCACATCTTGTGACCAGTTAGACTTGAAAAACATCCCTCTTAGCAACGGTGTTTGAAACAGATACATAGCTAAAAGTGGTGACATGAGCAGCCTAAGGTGGGAGGGGGACCCTCATTTTGACCTGTAAATTGAGCACATTTGATGGGGAAATCACCATGCAGGAGTAAATCTGGAATATTAAGATGTCTGTTTTATAGTCATATTTCTACACTTAATTGCTATTTAAGAAATGGCAAAAAGAAGCAGATTTTTTAAAACCTTCTGTGGGCAGATAAGCAGACAAGTGCTTGGGAAGGTAGCGCTTTCTTCGGATAAACCCATCTTACCTGGTTTCAAAAAATACTTAGTAGCTGTGAGTTACTCATTCTAGCCCTATTTGGATTTCTATAGAGCTAGTTTGTTTTCATTGCTTTCATTTAACTTTATTGATTATACCTGTTAATGTCTTTTTTTCTTTTTCTTTTTTAAGCTTTAATAAATTTGCTGAAGTTCCTTATGTCAAATGAGACCGTCCTTTTGGCCAAACACAACATTTTTACATTAGCCCTTATGGTGAGTAACTAAACAAACGTTTCTTTTTCTGAAGCTATACCCTAAGGCAGAGATTGGCTGGTTCGAAATAGTAGCTGGGTTCTGGGGACTAAGCCATAGGGTGAACCAGGCCTTTATTTTCCTTTTGGATAAGAATCTCTAGACTGGTACTCCCCACTGTTACCTATGTCTTCGGTGAACCTGGGACCTAATGTGATTGGTTATTTGGGGTAGAAGGAGGGCATTGTGCCTTTCAACTGTCTTCTCATATCACTCAGTGTGTTTATAATATTTAACATTTGGGGGAAAAAGTCCTGATGTGTAGCTTTTGGTGAGTTCCATGGTAAAACCGTACCCACCATCACCAGCTCCAAGCTATCAACATGACATCATTGAATGCAGAGTTGGGAAAAGATGAGCAGTAGCACACTCTTTTGTGATATTCCCACCACACAGATGTAAGAAGTATAAATGAATCTCAAGAGCATAGATAATACTGAAAGGTAGGAAGTGATGAGTTTTTGAGTATTTTTTTTTACCTCTATTTTAATGTAATTTATTGAATTGTAAGTTTACATAAGTTAATTTTTAGTAATGGCTTTTTTTAACAACTGTCTCACAAAATTCCTGAAAATTTAGCAATCAGCTTTTGCAAGCCAGTAAAAGCTGGCTGCAGCATACCACTGATAATGCCCTTCTGATCTTCATAGAGCGATGTCTGTATATGAGCTTTTTTCCCTTCTTTTTTAGATTGTGAACCTATTTAATATGTTTATCACATATGGTGACACATTCCTGCCCACCCCTAGCAGCTATGATGAGCTCTACTATGAGATTATTCGCATGCACCAGAGCTTCGACAACCTCTACTCTATGGGTAAGCTTCTTTTCTTTTTACGCCTCTCTCTCCATCCACTGTGATTTTTGGCACATAAGAGGAAAAGGCTACAAAAGGTTCTTCTAGTTGCTTGGTTCCTTTGCTTGGCATAGAAATAGAGCAGTCTCCTCTTTTCAGGCAATAGGAAGGAATATATGGACATTTTGGCATTCAGGAACTCAGAATTCATCTCAGTAGAAAGCTGGTTAGCAGCCCTGTAGCCCTTTCTTGATGTTTGTATGTGAAAGAGAGAATAGAGAGGCTTGTGCATTTAGTGAATGCAGTGAGATGGGAGTGAAAGAGTGGGTGGGAATTGACAGCAGCAAATAGAAGAGCTTGGATCCCAAAGGAACATTGTGTGATTTGAGAAGGTACAGGATTTTAAGGAGTTTTAATGTACCTATGTATTTTTAGCATAACTTATAAGAGGAAGTGGGCATTGGATAAAAATCTTTTTTGCAAACCTTTTGGTGATTGGCTCACTGAAATTCACTGTGCAGCCATAGTGAGTATAACTTATTTCTGAAAGAGGTCACATATCCCTGTAAGCATGAGTGAAGAGTCAAACCTACCTGGAGTTTGAAAGGTCAAGAAGGATTTCTGTAGGTTGCACAGAAACAGAAATCCACTCAGTAAAGCTGTCTGTTAAATTCCCAACTTAATAGCTTTGAGGTATAATTGATACATAATCAACTATACTCATTTAAAGTAGTATACAATTTTTGGTAAGTTTTGACATATGTGTATGTATAACTAAGATAATAAATATATCCAATAACTCCCACAAGTTATATCCCTTTATGTCCTTCTTACCAT